CCCACCACAGTGTCAGTGCAGGGATGCCAGTGTGTGTACACACGTGGCTTCACTCGGAGCGAGCACGGCGTTGGGCATGATGAAAGCCAACCCCTTTGGTTATGTTCATCAGTACACCGTCGGATTCTCACGGCTGTCAGAAAACTGTGCGGCCAGAGGGACCGGTCTCCTAAAGCCAGCTGAGGTCCGAAAGTCAGTGGCAGGATGCGGTTTTAGGCGGCAGCTCCCACGGTAAAAAAAACCCCACAGCACCAGAAGACAAACAGGCAGGGCTGAGTTTGTCAAGGGGAGTGTGGAAATATGGTTAGATCTCCGAGATAGGTGGGAGTCAAGCTGTGAAAATGAGCGGCGGGTGATAAAGGGCATCGGAGGAGAGGCAGCTGTGAGAGAGGTGTGTGACCAGGTGGAAAGAGATGAGGTTGAAGGTTGGCTAATGGAGGTGATTCATCGATCTTATGTTGTTTGCAGTTCCAACTCTCCTCCAACCTGGCAGCAATTTTGTGGCTATTATACTCACTATTAGGCAGCGAGGTGGCCGTGCCACCTTTAAATTAAAGCATGAGAAATCGATTAGGTGCATCCCCTTCTGAGCTGGATACCTTCGGGTTGAAATAGGATCACGGAGAGATGGCCGGGAGGGGGGGGGGGGGGGGGGGGGGGGATGTGAACGAGATCCAAGGACAAATCTAACTGTTGGCAGACTCTCTTAACAGAATATCAGCACTGGAGCACCTTTTGGCAGAGCAAACAGAAAGAGGGAGGTGGAGGGTAAAGGAAAGTGGCTGCACAGAGAAGAAGGGAGAGAACAGGAGTTGGGTGGGGGGGTGGGGGGTGGGGGGGGGAGTGAGGTGAGGGGAAGGAGGAAGACAGTTAGGGAGTAGGGGAGGTGTTTTTGCTGACAGCCATTTTGTGCCTTCTGCTGCAGTTAAAATGGTTTAACATTCATCTGCCTGTACGGGGTGGTTAGGTGAGGATGTTTTTAGTGCTACCCAGACTCGTTCAAAGGGTCTGTGTGCACGCGCTCCAACATGAGGCAGCTATAAGGCCATCATTTTCAATTATGGCTGTCCCACACATGGGGCTTTATGACTGTCCTTCTATCTCCTCTAGCTGTGCAATCCATGTTAAACATTTGAGGGAGAGTCTTTATTCTTAAATGAATTCTTATTAACAGCAAAAATCAGATGGAGCCCCTTGATGGGCTCTTTTCACCTTGGTCTGTTCGGAAGTAGAGGACTAATGATTCCAATGCGAAAGCTGGTATCTGTGCCACTGGACTGGAGTACCAATGCACTGAGCATGTCCTTTTGATTTATCCACAACTGAAGAGTTGATCTCTTTTATAGATACTGGTTCGTGCGATTGGTCTCTATGCATGGAAAAACCAAATGAAAATCTTCCGTGGCAGATTGCGACGCTTGCACTCGCCTCGCGTTAAATAAATAAAAAAAAGAAGCCAAAAAACCATTGGCGTGATTGTGAATTTGTAAATGTGTGTGTTCATGCATCTGCCTGCGTGCATGCGTGTAGGAGCTATTTGCGAGTCCACCTCAGGCACTGGGCTGCTGGGTATGCAGCCTTAAAAGGTTGTGTTTCTCCTGCCACCCCACCTCCCCCTCTACCCCCTTTTCTCTCCCGGTTTTTTTCTCACACTCTTTTCTTCTTCGTTTTCATCTGTACGTTTGGATCATTCGCCATCTCTCCACTGTCCATCTGCGCCCCATTACCGATGCTTTATCATATTTGTCGGTGAGGCGAAATGTTGCGCCACTGTCTCATTTACAGCCTCTCACATCCAGCACAGGGACTGACCCGCTGCTATTTGAGAGGGAAGCTGGTTAGCACTGGCAGTTTTGAGAACATAATAAAGCTATTTATGCAGCGAGACTGGCCTCTAACAATCAGCCTGCTGTCTGAGGCTGGTCGAGGTGTATGTGTATCAGTGTGTTTGTGTGCATAAGCAAGAGAGACAGTGAGGCTCAAGCTAAGTAAGTGAGGGAGGCCCGAGGAGGGGTCAGCCTTACATAAACTCTCAGCCTGCCAGTAACAGTTCCAACACCGCTTAGGGCACCGGGCAGGGGAGGGAGGAGGAATAGTCATGACCCAGCTAAGTACTTTAAGCAGTAATAGCCTGGAATCATTGCTGTACTTAGGCGGGATGCCATTCTGCTGTCACACTGTGTGACAGTTGTGAAGAGGCACTGTGTCTGAAGAGCATCAGTCGAAAGGGGGAATTTGGTTCTAGGTTTCTCTTTGATCTGTGAACCTCTGTACGTGTCACGCTGAGGTTGGCAGCTGTCTCTTTTTCCTGTCTTTGTTTGCAGTCACATGTCATGTGCGGTATGTGTGAAAACTGAGGTGGCTTCCACGCATACCTTTCAGACAAGTCACCACACCGATATTGGGTCCAGAAAGACCCTTAAAAAGACAGAGCAGGGTCATGAGGGTAGTGCGGGACATCAGTCCGGAACCAGGTCTGTGCTTCATATCACACTTTTATTCAGTAAAACTTTAAATACTCACAAGCTATTGAACAACCACCGTAGTGGTTTTGAGTTTTCGGATGATTTCCTAACTTCCTGGAAGCTGGTGGTTTTCATTCACTTGAGCTGGGTATAAAAATCCCTCCTGAGAGTACTTATCCATCACCCAGTACGGTTGTCTGTTTTATTTATGTATCAGGGTGACTGATGGATGTAGCTCTTCCCATTGTGTGGTTAATCAGTTTACAGGGTCTGATTTGATGACTGTTTAGTGGGAGGCATAAATTATGAAATCTATGACATCTGAGATTTCTGGCTGCCAAAAAGCTTTGCACTCAAAATCGAGAGATCAACCGCAAAAGAAAATAACTTAAGACTGTAAAAAAGAAATATGAGAATCGGGGGCATTCTTCCATTGAATAAGCTATGGTTGGAGAGCTAAGTTCAAAATCTTCAGAGGGGTCTCTGAAAAGTCGCAATAAGGTCATAGTACAGCACTTTACAGCTGCGAGATTTATATCAGGCTTCAAACCTGATCAGTTTAAAGTCGTCTGACTTCACTCTCAGTGATGGATGTGTGCTTCTGGTTCCTGTTCCAAACTCTCCTCAATGGCGTGTCACAGTTGGCAGGTCCTTGGAAATTGTCTGATTTCATTACACACTGGATAGATTTTTTTTAAACTCCAGCCCCGCAGCATGATACAGTCTCTCCCATGCTTTACTCTGCATTATTTTGTGCATAATTTTTGAAATGCACATTAGTCCTAAGTAAGAATTTTCCAAAGTATACTGATACACTTCCAGAATGACTTTAAATTTCAGGGTTTTAATTATTTCATTTACTAATACTTGATCAGAAAAAAAAATGTGGCAGCATTTTTACTGCGCAAAAACATTGTTATGATTGCCTATTTTTCTTGATACAAAGCCAGCGCTAGCTACCAGAACTTGCATTAACAATTGTGATAATTGGTTTCATATTAGCTAAAGGAACAGCTGGAGAGAGGGGCTGAAGTAACAACTCTGTGATTTCTGTTGAAACAAAGGTATGCATAGGTAAAATCTCCAGCTTTGATGTCAGGGTGAAACGCTGTGCTCTGGCTTACACTTACAAGGTTGTGGAAATACCACTGCGTATTATTCCATCACACTGCAAGCATGTGCTGCCAAGCCTTTTGGGTATTATGATGGGGTCAGCCTGTTTGTACAGAACCAATGGCTGATACAGGAGTTCAAACTGAGAAGGCCTATCCAGGTAATCCAGCAGTGATCAAATCCGAGAGAGTGTAAGGTTTAATGGTTAGTGTTTTATAATTGATTTCAATACGGAAGTCTTGATACAATCTCAGCAAACAGTCTACTTCAGTCTACAGTCATGTCTCCAGGTAGTGGTCTAGTCTGGGTTCATATCGGTGTAAATGGTGTCAAACTGAGCCCAGTGTGTGCAACAGCATTCCCAAACTTCCAGCTCAGTCATGCCTCTTGTCATATTGACTGATGGCATTCCCTGGAGCTGTGGTGAGAAGTGAAGTCCAGTGTTTGTTTTGGTGGCTTCCTGTTTATACCCCTGGTCAGCGTAAGTGCGCATATATGTGGATGTGAGTATGTCCATGTGCAATTATCCAACACAGAAAAACCTGAATCTGGTGCGGAATGGTGACACAATCTTTTCCGTAAATAGCACCAGGGCTGCAGATGTGTAGCCTTTCTCCACGATGGCAACGTTGTCATTCAGATGTGTGTGTTTTTTTTCTTTTTCCAATATATGTATGTAGCAATACTGATGCATGCATGTGTAAAAGAGTTCAGACGCTAGTTTTTCCAGACCAGCTCGTAAACCACATCTGGGGAAAGAATTTAGATTCCTTCCCTCCGTCTTTCTTTGCTGCCTTTCGTTTTCCCCGTGTGATTCTCTGCCTCCTTCCACGCTATGGTGAAAACCAAAAATAATGACAGAAGTCAGCTTTCTGCATGTTTTTTTGTTGTTGTCCTCAGGCTAACTTCAGCCTGTCTTTAGAGCAGAGAAGAAGAATGTCTTATTTAGCACTGATCGCTCTGCGATCTGCGTGGTTCTGCTTCAGATCTTCTGTTGGGATGGAGTGAGGAGGGATAGAGAGCGATAGACGGAGCTAAGAAGGGAGCTGTGGGAGAAAAAGCAAATGATACTGTCAAAATTCTGTTTGTTTCTATAAATTGCAAAATGTAAATAGGAACCGGGGCAGCCTGCTTGTACAGCAATCTTTGTCTTTGAATTTAACAAGGAGGCAATGAGGTTGTTGACAGTGACCAATGTCGCGCTGATAGACTGGAACAGAACTGAAGCAGTGGAGATGACAGGACAGTTTTTACCTAATTATATCATTCATCTTTCCACAGACTGTCCCTGGCTTCGCTGTGTTCCTGTGGGACAACAAACACAACCTCAGTAGCTGATTGACAACATATCACCAGTCCAGCAGACTACTGCTCCCTCTCTCTCTTCCTATTGGCTGGCTGCCACAGCTTACCCCATCCTGACTGGCTCTGGCGGGAGCGTGGATGGAGCCAAGGGATCTGGTTGGCTCAGCCCGACCCAAAGAGGCGGACCTTCAGGGAGGAAGGGTGGGGCCAAATGAGGAGAACCAGCTAGGGGCAGGTGGCATCGGGTTGGTGCGCAGTGATGATGTGATAAACGGCGGCGTCAGTGAGGGGGAGGGCATCGAAGAGCAGGGGGAGGGGCTTATGGAGGAGCAGGAGTTCTCCATCAAGGAAGCAAGTTTCCAGGAAGGAAGTCTAAAGTTGAAGATACAGACCACCAAGCGCACCAAGAAGCCCCCCAAGAGTCTTGAGAACTATATTTGCCCACCAGAGATCAGGATGACCATAAGGCCTCCAATGGGAGACGGCAAAGGAGGGCGGCAGGGGCGAACAGGAGGCGGGGCGGGAGCAGGGCGGGGCCCAAAGGACGAGGAGCGAGGACCCCCCAGAAAACGGGTAAGACACCACGATCGCTTCCTCTAATGCGTAAACAACAATTAGAACTTAACTACAACATTTGAATTTTTTTTTGTAAGAGGGAAAGTATAATCCCGTCCATCTCAACATCTCTGTACCTTTTCTCGGCAGCTTCTTCTGCCGGGTTTGGTTTCAAAGAGTCAAAGTTTGCTCTGTAAATTGATACCGCTCTGACTTCGATCACACACTGACCCACACCCAGGCATACACGACACACACACACACACACACACACACACACACACACACACACACACACACACACACAGACATAGCAGCTGAGAATAGGGCTGACACAAGCAAGTGACAGCTGGTGTCTGCCCTCTCCATTTGTGGTCATACACACTGGGATCGTTCCTGTCTCCTCTCCTCATCGCTCGTGTTCCTCTCCTCTTCTCTCCTCTCCTTTAATGAAATCAGCCTTTGTGGGTCCCAGCCTGTACCCCTCCTCTTCTCCATCATCCCCTCGCACACTATACCGGTTTTTGGAGTGTGTGACACTGTGTATGTACAGGTCCTTGGGGAAATCTGGTGTTTGCGGGGTGTGTTGACCTACACGCTGGAGTGTGTGACCAAACCTGACAGTCATCTCAATGGCACTGAGCTCCACAGGCCCAGCAGGACCGAGGGCGTCATGTTGTCAACACGGACCTGAGTAGTGTTTTGCTCTTGTCGTTCCTCGGTCTTGTGGTTTCCACTCAAATTCAAGAGCTCATGAGGTAATGGGGTTCCATAGCTGTTATTTTTACCCGCCTAATCTAGCACGGGGCAGCTTGAGCTCTAGTCATTGTTTAATTAGAGTCAGCGTTAATAAGGGGCCTGAAAATAGTTTTGGGATGTTCATCAAAGAGTTTGTTGCAGAGGAAAACTTGTGCATGGCAGACAGTTCTCATAAAAACAGCCGTTTTATAGGGAATATCTCTTGACATTTTCTCAGAGATGTGGTTATGGAAATACACTTTTCAGCCAATTAAAGGCAGCATGCTGGTTGTCCTGTCCGTTATTTTATTGGGTTTTTTTGTATAAAAAGAAGAGCTACATTTTTATGTTGTTATTTATCTATTGTGCTGACATTATGTGTATTAATTACTGGATAATTACAGTCCTCCAGGGTGTTCTTGTCTGAATGTTGAATGTTTGTGATTCATAACAGAGCAGAGATTCATAGTCAACAATGATGGAACTGTAGCTCTGTGTTTATGTTTGCACTGTTTTTCACACAGTAATTTGCTTGGAAATAAATTATGTGGCTCCTGCTTTGTAGTTGGCAAAATTTAACTTAATCCTTCGCCAGAGTTTTAGCTAGTTGTCTGTGGGATGTGGGCTGTCACCACAAAGAAGACTGTCAAACCTGCCTGTTCTCTTCCGTAAATGAAGAATGAAAGGACATGTTTACCACAGAAAGATTCAGTATTTCCATTAGTAAGCTGAGTGGGCTGAGCCATCTCTCTCATGTTTAGGAGCCATTCCTAATCTAGCACCATCAGCCCCTAATTGGGAAGCCCGCTGCTTGATGATGATTGACAGAGGTTGTCATGGCGACAGGGCGGAAAGCTGGTGTCTGTTGAGGTTTGAAGTCTGGGGTTGGTGGGTGGAGGGGGGGTTGGGGGGGAGAGAGAACGTGTTGATGTTTGTTCAGATCACTTTCAACCCTTCATCCTCTTTGCTCTGTCTCTCAATCACCCCTGGCCACCTTCCCCTCCTCCTCCTCCTCCCCCCCTCCACCCCTTCCTCCTCCCCCAACATCGTTTCCCTGCATCCACCCATCACCTGCCACCCCAAGGGTGTAATGCAGGCAGGCTCGCTGGAGAGGAACGGGTTAAGGAGAGAGGCTGGGCTGTCTCCGTCTCCCTCTCTTTCTGTAGGCCGGTGTGTGTGTGTGTCTGTGTGTGTGTGTGTGTGTGTTGGGGTTAAATACTCTCTTTGTGGTGCATGCGAGGCTGTGTGTCAGGAGGGGAGGGGAGGTGAGGTGGGGAGCAGATGGACAGCCTCTCCACTCTCTGTGGCATTGTGTCCACATCTACTCTTTCCCGCTCTCTCCCTCTTTATCTTTTTATCTGTCTCTCTTTCCACACTTGTCCCTGCAGTCTTTTCTTCCCTCAAGTCTTCCTCCTTTTCACGCCGTCTTTTTCATCACCCTTTCCTTCCTCTTTCAGCCTCTCTTGTCTTGTGGCAGATGGCAGCGTGGGGCAGCAGCAGCCGCGGCAGCGGAGCGGCAGCCAGAGTGCGAGCGGGAGAAGGGGAAAGGAGAAGGGGGTTGTGGAAAGAGGTGGCGGAGGAGAAAGGAGGTGGGGGCCAGGCATATGGAGAGCCTGGTTAAGGGGCCCCCTCAGAGGGAGTGTGTGTGTGCGTGTGGTAGTGTGGCAAATAGAGGAGGGAGAGGGGCAAGATACAATAGAAACCCATTTAGACGGAGATTTGACTCTAATAGACAGAGAAGGGGAGAGACAGACAGATAAGACAAACATATAGAATGACACAGAAATGGTAGTTATTCTCTGTCATGTGGCAACCCATGAATGTTCCTTTCTCTTGGATAGTTTTATGACAGAATTAACTTGGAGATTGATAGAAAAATAAAGCTGGGTCTCTGTTTGCTACTACGATACACTACATCTGGAAAGCCAAAGTATTGTCCCACAGCCTAATGGCTCATGTGATCGTGCACCTGTCAGTAATGACACTTAATGCTGCTTATTTAGTATGTGGAATTGTGGGAACACATAGGAGAGGGATAAAAGGTGTGATTTCGTGTCTTAGAGGGAACCTCGTTCTTGTTATCGTGCTCATAGCTGTCATCCATAACCAGGGGAGTCATCGCTAGCTCGTGGTGTCAGGGGACAGACCCACATACACACATTAAAAGAATATGATGGGCTCCCCTTCTGTCTCCAGCTGACATCACACACATGCTGAACGTCCTCTCACACACAGCTCTTTGTCTGGGCACACTGTGTGCGTTAGAAAGATGAATGTCTGTGTTTTAATGGATTGGATCCTGGGTCAACTGCTGCATCACTCCTCCAGACATGCGTGTCCTCATGCACAATATTTGGTCCGATGCCTTCACATGGCGGACCGTGCGCTAACTAAAGTGTTCTCTCTTTCTCCGCCGCTCACACATGTACACAAACCCGCACAAATCATGTCGAGCAGTGATTGCTGTTAGAGAGAGTGCTTTCCTGGTTATCTGTCCAGTTCCCAGGACGTGCCAAATGTGGCTCTTAATCCATTTCACTATCTGTGGGGAGAGATAAGCCAGAGCTTTTCCAGGAGTCCAGGCCAGACTGTGTGTTATTGTTGTTGTTCTATGTGTGTGTTTGCCTGTGTGTGCGTGCGTGTATTACTGGGTGCATCCATAAGCCTGACGTTAGATGCACACTTATCTTGTCTTGACAGCCCCTCTGCTTGGTGGTCCTCTTGGCTATGTGTGTGTGTGTGTGTGTGTGTAGCTGCTTGGTGGTCTCCCAGCAGTGTTTGGGATTATTATGTATTAGTCAAGTGCATTCACAGGGAAATTAATGCTGCCACAGTCGCCACGCCAAATGTGTGTGCATGCAATACGTGCACACGTGTGCATGCGAAATGGTAGGCCTTTTGATGGAAGCTTTTTTATCCCAGTCTGAGGTGACGGTTGGTGACCTGAGGGACTTGATGAGCTCATAAAACAGAAGCGTGTGTGTCAGCTTGTGTGTGAAGCATCATGCTCACCCACAGAGAGCAATCCTGGGCTTATTTATAAATATGTATGAATATGAAATGATCACTTCTGATGCGGCTAGACCAAACTGTCATGTTGGACCTTTCTGGTGTCATTGTGGTTGAAGCCTTATTTTGGTGTGTGTTTGTGTGCCCTCAGTATGCAGCCTTTGAGAGTACAAAATGGGAATGCTTTAAGGGGCGTTTCCCTCTAGTAGATGGGGGATGGGACATGTGAATGTGTTCGTGTGCATGTAAGGTGGGGAGGGGTGAGTGATTTAGCACCACGGAAACACCAGCTGTCCATCTGTGTCTGACCCCCATACACACCCTATACACACTTGACACACACACCGACACACACACCGACACACACACAGCACACCTCTTTGCATGTAACCTCTGATCTGTTCTCAACTATCTCTCAAATCTTAAGTAAGTCCAGTCAAAGCACAATCTGTTCGTTGTCTTGTAACCGCCATACACACACACACACACACACCTACTCACAGCAGTCATATTTCCATCCTTTCAGGAGACGGTAAACTGAAAATCCGTTCATTTGCTTGAAATGCACCCTATTTTCCTAAACCCGATTTCAGTATTATCTTAAATGATGTCCTCATACTGAAATAAATTATTTAGATTGTATCATTCGTCCCTGCAAGACTGATTGTAGACCTTTTGAAAATGAGAAATAAGGCACAGAAACGCACAACCACACACATTCTGGAAGACGGCTGTAATCAGCCCTGCAGTAGCCCTCTCACTGCTGCAAATCAACAATGAATGACTCTGCAAGGTCGATCCTTGTGAGCACATGCACACGCACACACACAAACACAGACACACACAGCCGTACAAAGGAGTGCTGGAGGGCAGCAGAAGACGAAGCGAACTTTGACCCCACCGTACATTCAAAGGCTGAGGGGATAGCCGAACTGCTGTTGTGCAAGCCTCGGTGTCTGTATGTGCGTGTCTCCATGTGTGTGTCTGCCACATTGTTTGTTTGTGCGAATGGGTCAGGGTTGAGACAACTGGAGTCTGGCCTTTGCTTTCTTACCCTCAGGGCTGGATTTGGTGTCTATGTGCATGTTGAGTGTGTGTGTGTGTGCTTGTGTTGACCATTTGGTTGGAACTGTTGCTAATTTCTCAATCTGACACACACATACCATCTTCTCAATCCATCCCAAAGGTCAAGCCCTATTCATCCACCATTGTGTCCAGTCCCAGTGGGTTGCTGTTCTTCCTCAAGCAGATGCAGGCGGGCTATAATAGCC